TTCCGATGATATCATTGCAGGCAGGAAAATCACTCCTATAACCTACACCATCCACCGTTTTTGGTCTTCTGGCCGAGAGAAAAAGGGATGTGGTAAAGAGTAGGAATATATGAAACAAAGTATGTGCCTAGGAGCCTTCGTCATTCCCGACTCTGGCCGCAACGAGTTCCAACTGCAAGCGCTACTACTTTTACGGCACGCTACTAGCCGGCGTCACCGTCGCTGGCACCCATCATTGGCATTTGGCTTCCTGGTAGACTCCTTCCTTCAGTTTAACTTGCATTATCCCTTAGCTAGTTCAGCCCCGGAAGTGTCGATTATGAGTCATTCGAACAGGGAGAGTGGGCACAGTGAGGACAGAGGAAAATACAGAGTGAGTGCTTCAAGGACCATTTATCATTTACAGACAAAGGTCGTTTACATGCCACACCGTTCCGGTCCGTTCGTCCCGCCTAGGGCCAGGCCGGTAAAACTGACCCACCCGCTTCCAACGGGTTTTCACTGCGTTCCCAATAGCAGGGTCAAGTCCTTCTAAGGGAAATAGCACAGCTCCATAGTAACGCCTGCCGTGCTTTTATGGCAGTAATGAAGTCTATAAAACCATCAAGCGATTCAAATTATTGTGCTAGGCAAAGGCGGCCTTCATGCTATTGCTTGCCATTCGGGTTAGCCTTCTGTGTTATAACCCATTGTGAGTCTACAGTGAATCCAATTGAACGGCAAGCTACGGTCGATTCACGACGCTAATAATTTTGTATCATTCAACGATGATGGCCAATCCTACCACTGATTACTAAGTAGTTTTCTAGTTTTCTGATTACCTCTTTCGGAGCTGACTTTTGCCCTGACAATTATTTCCAGTGTGTGAATATTGTGAAATTAGCATGGGGTGACCTAATGAATCACTGATACATAACAGGACCTAGCTATATATTTTAAAGTGAAAAATCTATTATTTCGGTGTCGTCTATTACATCACTATAACAGCTATTTTACGCCATGGCCAGTGTCTGCCAGCTGCTGTCGCCATTCAGATACTGGCAAAACACAACGCGTCGGTTCGACTTGGGCCGCCGTGATAGCAGAAAAGGGACGCACGCATATTGTGACTCAATGGCCGTAAACAACAGACAAATGAGTATATGACCAAATTATCAACACTCATTAGCAACCAAAGCTAACGCATTCGTTACTTTGGGACGAACTGTCCATGCATACAACGATCCCTCAGCGATCGTCCGAAGGCTGCATCCACTGTCATTAGTATTAGACGTAATATTAAGCATGGGTGCCAGCTGAAGTATTTGGCAATGTTTTGATGGTAGGTGTCATCAATAACGGCCTCGGCTTAATTCAAAACACGTGCACAGTCATGTATGTATCCTCTTTGCTGGCTCGACTAGTTAAAAAAAAAATTCTATGCACAGATACTCATAGCTTTCCGCTGTTCAACACTTAACGAAGTCTTAAGACTGAAAGATTTTATTTACTATTAGACAAGAAGATTATGTTTACCAGCCTATTACGATCTAACCAAAGTTCGCTCTCTCTCTAAAGTTTTCTCGTCAACGTCTTCTCGCAGTGATGAAAATGTGACAACAGACAGCTCCTTCAACCACCCATCAATAACGTTGGCCGTCTGATACCACAGAAGATGTTATCCAAGAGTATGTATACGCGGCGTTGAATTCCATTTAGAACAAGTGACAATAACACGATGTCTAAGAAATGTGACGCCATCGCCATTTCCGTCGTCACTGGCAGTTATCCACCAGAGGTTCAAAACGAAGGGTAGTGGCAGACGAACGAGGGGCAGAAGATTGAAAGCAGACTAAGGTCATGCTGCTTCCGTAGACTGCAAAACAAGGCTTTACAAGCTTTAGGTATCTCTGGCCCAAAACTCGCAGGGTCTTTTACGCGCTTATTATATTATATTGCTGCTGAGGCGACATTAGCCTGGACAGTGGCAATGAGGACAGACGGTGCCATTTTTACTATGTCTTATATATGAACGTGCATGAAACCCGAGTTTTTAGGCTGGATGATGGTTTATGGCCCGCGAAACAGCCTCCGTCGGGATGCTAAGTCAATAAATTTTAGTATCATGACAATTTCAGCGGATAATAGCAGACTCTAGCTCCGAACTCGTTTCCTTTTTTAGTTTACTTTCGTTTGCATCTATACACTGGCCGAGTCGAGAGTGTGTTATATTCAATGACAGACATCGAAACGCGCGAAAACACCGCTGTGACGCGTCATATTATTTACCGCGTCCTTTACAACATCTAGCCTACCTGCCTATTTACCTTTATTCACCTTTTTTTAAGCCACTCTTCCACGAAACTGATCTGTCACATCGTCATCGTCGTCGTCGTCGTCGTCGTCGTCATGAGATAACGTCACGTAAGTACTACTCAACGCTTAAGTACAGATCCACGCATCCTATATTGGTGTACTAGTAGTATAGGCGAAACCAGACGACTTTGGACGGCACGCGCGTAAATGAGCTCTGCTCTTCAAAACGTTTCTATTGGACGGGTTTTCAGCCGTCTATGGCATATACTAAAATTCTGCATAATCGAGGCTGCACAGAAGTTTTTGAGAGATTCTAGTAGTTTTGACATGATCTATTAAATGCTTAAAGGTCCGAGAGCAGCTTTATCCAGATTCGTTGATCTAAGCAAGATGACTAGAGGAGAACACGCAAATCGAACCTAACGGTAATAGAATTGGCCCTAACTAGAGTGGAATTTCGTTATCAATCATTTTTATTTAGAATTGTCTTGCAGGCAAAGGCTTCCTGCATCTAGCATCTAGCTTCGGCTAGGTAAAGGCTGACATTCGCACTTCCGCAACAGCAAAAAAATAACATCGTAAACCCTACGGTAAATAAGCTAGGTGGCTTCGTTCATCAGTGGCTTCAATATCTCACAAAGGCCATCCCGGTACGCGGCGACCGTAATTGTGATACTGTAATGACAAACAAATAATTGACCTCGTAGAGGCTTCTTTTCCTTTTTTCGTAATAAAAAATTCCTCGGAATCTGGCTGCAACGCAATGGTAATTATTTTCGTTATTTCAACATGGTGCTTTTAAACTAGATATAGATTGTATTGAATGCGTGCTACCTTCCTCCATCGCAAGACGGTTACATTGTGCAGAAAGATACATTTGAAAAAAACTATGTTTAGCGATTATTTCACTTACCAAATGGTTAACTTTGAAAAATGATTAATTGTACCTCGAAAAACCGACTTTTGCGTTCGGTCCACTTCTCCTTTTGTGATTTATTTACGTTCTGCACAATTGTAATCGTCTAAAATCACTCGTATTATGCACAGGATCATCTATATTATAGATTAAGGGCCTTTGTGTAGTCAGCCGGGATGGATGAATCAGCTTCGATGATGCAATCTCATCTAGCGAATCTTATATGTATGTAGGCGCGAGTCAACGTCTGCGAGGTTTTTGGCCGTTTGCCATACTGCCACACGACAAGACTTTCAACCTGACAAAAAGGCGCTTATGTACGCTTCTTTTTAAATCGATTGCACTAAAAAACAGAACCTAAGCAACGTTCTGTAAGGAGCGGGTTCAAAGCGACGCGCGCGACCGAGACAACAAATTTCATAGCGCCTATCTTCGCCTGCACATATAGGCAGATGGTAACCGATGCAGGGTGGCTGCCGAATCGCTACTGCGATATATTAAAAAGTATCGCCATAGCTGTGATAATCCGTACTAATAAGTCAAGATCCGTCGGTTTGTCGTTTCTATAATAAATATATTAGATATGGTACCATTTGCATTTGCTGAGTAAGACTACATATAACCTATTAAAGTTCAGGATCACTGCCAGCAACATTGCTACTAACTCACTACCACTAGATCAACATTATTTCGATTAGGATCGCGGCCGAACAGAGAACGTACGCGATTTTTGTCTGTTAGAGACTATGCCGAAGTGGACGAAAAGGGTGGCTGCTTCAACATGCATAATTGCAGACCTGACCTCATTTGATAAAAAAAAAAAAAAAGATTAAAAAAGGTCGCTTATCGGGTTAAATACACGAGGCGAGACACCGATTAAGAAGAGCAGTACGCTTTAGCCAATGGTCAGCGCTGCTGCGAAGTGGCTTATCCTCGTAAGAAAGCGTTGTAGCAAATGATCGAATTGATTTCATAGTACATCCAGATGAATCGGAGAGCACGACAGTTGATCATGAGCTGGACACTAGCAAAACAGAGTTACTGTTAACTCAGGTTTCGATAGAAATACAGAGCAAAATTTTAGTGAGATGGACGGCATTATCAACAACTATTCACCTGAGAATTTAAGCTAACTGGTCCTTTAATAGGGAGCGCAACAGACCTAGAGAGTCTGGCGTCGCCCGTCGCATAGTGATTGCTAGGTTTGACGTTAACGGCCTTTTTTCTTTGAACTTCCCTCGTTTACCCAGAGGCTGATACTGGCGAGACGTTTAAGAATCTCCCTACACAGGGCGGATCCCCTTAGGCGTCTGCAGTTCGTGAAATAATTTTTCCTTCTGATGATACTGCCGCTCCAGAGTGTAGCCCATTTCTTTACTATTTACCTGCCGCTTCATTGGCTCCTGTGCGTCCCAAGTGAGCAGAACTCTATGTTCGACAAAAGTTTTCGGATTTTATCTAATGCAGTTTCGAGCAGGTTTAACTTTGGTTTGCTGGTGCTTCTTGGCAAACTAGCTTCTTTGTAATATCACACAAACAGAAAGAACAATATATTCTTCTTTAAAATACTACGACTAAAAGGATCAGCTTCACCCGCTAACGAATGTGAATTATTTTCTATATTTAATCGTAGTATTTTCGTTCGTGAACTATACGAGCAAACATTGAAAGCAGTCGACAAGTGTAATAGCACAGGTTCCTGTAACGACTAAGCCGCTAAACTGTGCACTTCAATGAGAACCTCACGATTGACTTACTACCGCCAATAATACCCCATAGTGATGCTTACCTTAAGCACAGTCTGATGTAACGGTGTCATTTCCGACACGGAAATGTTGTACGTCTTCGGATAGAACAATGGCGAGATGTCGTTCTTGTCGAGAATTCGGACGAGCACATCGCAATGCACGTCGTATAGCTTGCGGTTCTTATGTTGCAGCGTACCGCGCACTTTCAAACGATAGCGATCCTGATATTCGCGATTGAGCACTACCGAGTTTTCTGTTCGAATTCGTAGTAGTAGGTACCAAAAATCGCCGACCTGCAACGTGGGATGAAACGAGACCTTCTTAGACTCCCTGCCGATTCGTATTACAGGCACTCGTTATTAAAACGAGATAATGTATGAATGACAATCATCACAGCATTTGAATTTCTCCTGAGTACCACAACGACACCGAAGTGCTCTTAAAAAAATCGACTGCCCCTTCCTCTCCCCGCCTTCTGCCACAGGCAATTTTATTAAGAACAATCGGAAAATTGCACGAGTTTGTAAACGCGAACTGCGGCTAGCTGTATTAATCATGATTATTACCGGTCGCAGTTTTGAACTCGGCAGAAAAACAATAGGCGAACACTTGTGGACACGTTTTATGCGTGTATACATAAACGTATTCTTAGGGCGGGGGTAACACAACATACTAACTACACCCAACCGTAGAACAAACTGTATATTGGAAGGTATTATATATACGTTTAGGTCTTCGGTTGTAAAGGCAGAATTGCCTCGTTGGCTCGCGTCGGTGGTAAAAATAAAAATCGAATAGAGGATGCGTATTATCTGAAGCATGATAATTGTTCAATTGAGACTCATGCATTTCTCAAGTCTCCCAGAAGAGCTGCAGATCGTTTCAGTAAGTATAGACACTGAACAAGGCATCTTGTTCATATATTAATTATATAAACATACATTATATGGGGTGCTATTACATATTTATATAGATTGCTACAAACTGACTTGTCACAGTTCAGTATTGTTAGCAACAAGCTTCTCATTGGGATTGATATTTGGCTAAAACAAACGATGCCGTAAGAAAACCATTTTTCACTATATGTTATAGGGCTCGAAGGTTAACCAGCTTTATTTCGGTACTGACCGTCGCCGTAGAATTCTTCATATCTACTGTATATATTCACAAGGTTACATTTATGTGCCGTTGACAGGTGGGACCATTATATGTATGCGTATAATGAAGCGTTGGTGAGCATCGTGAGAGACTCACTAGAAGTCCTGTTCTGCGGCAGCAAACCGATAAGCACACAAAAGACGAACGTCCCGTTCTGTAAAGGACGTATTATTGATTTTGTAAGCGCTCACTGGGCCATCTCTTTTCAAACGCTATCGGTTCCCTTTTTCCATCTTTGTGATGACAAATCGATTTATATTCGGGGCTCCCTCGCAATGATCTCAATTCCACGCAAAAGAACCTCACTGACTTTCATAGCTTCCACGAGGTTTCTGATAACCGATAACAATCGGCGTACGAGTTCATTGCATATTCATTTAATCCAAGATATTATATGTTAGAATTAAAAAATTGACATTGTACTGCTAGTACGCGCTTACACGAAGTATGTCTATCTCCTGCATACTCCCTGGACATGGGCAGGCACTTAAAGACCTGCGCAGTACTAATAATCAGATGTACTGCAGACTTCAGTAAACGGACGAAGAATTTTGTTTCATTACATATATTTAAGATAGAGTTACAGGCATACATAAAACATTCTACAGGTCCTTCAAAGCATTCGTTCTACCTAAATGGTTACGGGTACGTTACTTAAGATCATTTCAATAGTTGATCTGCACCCCCGAAAGCGGCTGCATTCTAACATAAGTAAATTTTGACAAGGCTGACATTCAATTTCGATCGAGATTGAAACTAACTAAAGTTTAATCCCTAACCAAGATAACGTACTCTAATGTTTTGAGGAAACCTTAAAGTATTAATTTATATAGTAGGAAATACCTAGAATAATGCGAAAACGAGGAGATTAGAGCTAACCCATATTAGCGAGTGGCCATGAAAAAGGGCCCGATTAGCTTAGAGTAATATATAGAACTGCTAAGAGAAACCTAAAGGTATGTTGTCGGAGCGAGCCTTTTCACCATGTAATTCGTCCTTGTCTCCGTTTTCTGTAAGTTTGACTAGTTTTAATTTCTAGCTATTTACACTCCCGTTAACTAAGATAGGACAGAGAGCGTGATCGAGAGGACGGAAACCCTGTTGAGCACTAAAAAAAAGGCCCCCCCCACAACGACTTATCTAACAAAGTCATTGTGGGGGGCCTTTTTTTCTATCTGCCTCGTTTATTATCGCTCCAACTTATGCGTGTGAGATAATATACATTGTTTTTATTTTGTTTCAATAAACGAAGCACCGTGTACTGCTTTTGTAGTTGATCTGCTACTTCAGTAGTACAATAGGCCAATGATGAAACTGAACATAGTCTTGTTTCTGCCCTGGGTCGTGTTTGTTTGTTCAGCAGAGCAAAGCAATCAGTGGAGAATTTTGCAAGAAAATTTAACCTCCAAGTAAAGATTGTAAAGGTCATTATTTTCGCGTATTGCTTTAAGGCCTGAAGAAGTGTTGAATGCAATGACGAAGCATATTTCATTCGCTCCGTGGCTACAGTGGAACAATTATATGGCTTCTTCATGCTGGCACTACGTTGTTGCTGTTGGTCTCGTTTGGCTACGGTTTTTAGGCAAAGTGAAATCGCCCGGGAACGTTCTATGCACTGTGTCGCTGCAAAAGCGCACGGAAAATAAACACTGTCGACTGACATTACCGTTTCCGTAAAACCGACGCTATTCCCGTTTCAACCCGCTTTGGCCTGATGGTCCATTTAGGCTCTGCCCATTTACGTCTCAAAGGAGATGGGCCGAATCAAACAGGACACCTGCAATGAAATTCTATTGGAACTCCAACTCACTCTTTTAATAAACCCCACTACCCAAACCCAGCCTTTGCAAGCAGCAAGGGCACGTTGAGCTCACTCGCCACCCTGATACCTTTGCCCTTTCTTTCTGTCTGTCTGTCCCCTGCTTTAGCTCGTCGCATTGGTTCGGATTCGTTAGAACTAGATGGTTCCTTCTTCCTCTTCGTCGTATTTTCAAAAAGTCGGCTACCTCTCTTTATCGCCATGATCGTGGCTGCCGTAAGCCTTCCCTTTGCGCTTTACGGATATCGTTTTTTTCCTCTATATCCAGTTTATTTCGAAGGAATTTTTTAACAGTCAACTACACTGAAGTGTCTAAGATGTACATATACACATACATAGATTTATATGCTGATGATTCGCTTCAGAGCAGAGACAGGCAAGCCAAAATAAGAGGAATTGTTTTTATGTTGATGGCGAGTAAAAAATTATTTTGATGACTGTGGCTTTTTGAGGGTTCGCAAATAACTGTTTTGCTGTTGAGCTGTGCCGTCCATGCAGATCTGATCGTCGCAGATGACCTGTCTTCCCAATACTTGATATACTAAACTTAGGCGTGCGTCAAACATGATGCAGGTCTACGAATTTTCGAATGGCTGTATCACCTAAAATGACTGGCCCCGAAAAGACCAAGAGGATGGCCAATTTTATGACGGACGGACTGTGTTATAAACTTTAGTTCTTTGATGCTCCGCAGACAGACTGGCTGTTAGCCGGATGCGATACATTGCTACAGGGCCACTTTCAACTGTCTATCTGACCGGCGGTTGGGGGAAACAGCCACAACAGCTCTATGGTCCTGGATGCATGACGATGACGCCGTTTTGTGGGGCCCCTGGGTGGCATTATTGGGATGCCATTACCGACCATGCGACAAGAAAGCCAACAGACGACTATCGTGATGACCTACCCACCTCGAAGCCCTGGCCTTTTGTCTTTTCGTACTCTTCTCTCTCTCTCTTTTACATATATATTCCGTCCTCCACTCGCCCTTTTTCTCCGTCTTCTTTTTCCTGCTCACCCCAGCCACCGCTTTCAGTGTGTATTCCGCCTTGTTCTCGTTCCTCTTCCATATAAAAATTGCCGAATAAGCCCGCCAGACACATCATCGCATAGCTAGACATAAGATGATCCCTCAACGACGGTCTCGTTAATCTACCCCCTTTCCTCCTGCCTCCCACCCTCCGCCCCCCTATGAGTTGGCGCTTCTGTTGCAACGTCGTCCTCTATTGAGTGAATACCATAGCTGCTATTACAAACTCTGCGGCCGTCGCTACTAGAACTACTATAGCCATGCTAGCAGTAACGTTGTTATAGATCAGTGGCTGCCAGAGCTGACGGTGCGCTCATACGTTACGCGTATGAAAGCCATCGGTAACTCCGCCCTCATCCGTTGCTAGCATCGTTATCGTGTGCGAGTACTGCCGTCCACTACGTAGGCAGTAAAGGACCTCTAAAAGGACGTACATCAAAGATTGCGACGCACGCAATCATGCCGTTACTACTACCGAGTGCGACCCAACCCGACTCTGACCTGTGTCGAAACCGTTGCCTAGTTTAACGCTGACGATTCGCTTCGTAGCGATGAAATGCGAGCTTCGCGTGACGACGCTTCGCGAACACTATCTTGAAGGACGGCTCTCTACTGGCTTAGTTTGAGGAGGGGGAGGGGGCAAAAAAGGAGCAGCATCTTGCTCCTCACTTCAGTGAGTGAAGCAACGAATCGCTAACCATTGACATTGGCTGGTTTCCAAGATCTTTAGATGTGCACCTCAGTCGCCAGCTGGGCACGAAGAGGTAGCGAGTGAATTGAATCTATTCATTTTTCGCAGTAATCGACGGGTGGCCTCATTGACTTTGTCTCTCTCTCTTAGTGAGATGCGAGAGACACAGTCTGTGTGCAGCAACCAAGTGACGGCAGCAGTTACGCCGGTGGTCAGACTAGGTGACTAGTGGCCAAACGAGCAGACAAACAAAGAGCCAAGGAGAAGGGTTTTTCTAGATCGATTTTCGCAAGCGGCACCGACTTTGCTAGAAAGGGAGCCGCTAGTTGCTGCTGCAACTAACTTGGCTTTTATCCACCCTTTCATCTGATTAGTGGCTTCGTCTGGCGCACCGCCAGGGGTGGTAAGTAGAAACCTTGCTCGACGCGCTTTTCCTTGTCCCCTGTTTCTTTTCTTATGTTCGATTGCAGCAGCTGCTGCCTTGCACTGTGCGCATATGTGGGTCCGCAGAGGAAATAATCCCAACCCAGACGCTGTTATTCCAGGTCACAGCAAAAAGCAAATAAGAACATCGTCGTGGTTCTAGTGAGTACGTAATAATAGGACATGACAACGAAATTTGGCCAAACAACACTGCTAGATGCTTTTTATAGAGATATCTATACACAGACAGTAAATCGGTATTCATTTCCAAATGATATATTGAATATTATAACATTTAGTAGATTTGATAGATAAATAGATAGTAGATTGAATTGATTCCCTGATTTCGTACAACTGACACAGCAAACGAAATCAATTAAATCGTTTTGATACAGATACCCTCAAAACAATATACGAAAACGGTTTACTAGGCAGTAGAAGGTGTATTGAAGAAATCTTTAACTTACAAATATAGCATCGCCTGATAAACGGGATTAACAATAACTGCACTATATATCAAATACGTCTAGTACACTTGACATGGTTTCATGGCAGTCTTCAGAATCGCTATGGCAAAGCCGCTTTAAACATAGATTAAGTTGTGCCGATAGCCTTAAGTAGCTGCAGGCAATCTGTGCAAGTTGATGGCTGAGGCGTGCTTTGTGAGCGCGCAAGTTTTTTCCACGACCCAATAAAACATTCGAGAACTGATGTGGGAACAAACCCCCTATGAGATATCACCAGAAGCATCATCAACCGATTCGCGAGCGGGTCCTCAAGATATGCAAAGCTAATATGATGCAGGCTTCATCGACGTCGTAAAGAGAGAGCGAGACAAAAAGACGACGAATGCAGAACGTGTTATATCTAGAGACATCGAATTGGCAGGCAATTTCACATGAAAGGATTAAGGCTGTGTGCAAATTTTCCAAGTGTCATATTTTGCAAATGGCGCCTCGTTGATAAACTTGGAGTTCAATAGAGTTTGTACCGGCGCTAAAGAACATGCTAACGAACCAAAAGCCAGCTTCACTAATAAAATAAGAAACAGGACGAAATCGATCACCTTGTGCTTCATTTAAATAAATGACCTTTGAATACGTAAACGTAGAAGCCTTGACAGTTCTGGGCTTAGAGTAAGGGCTTCGGAAGTTGCGGGGTTTGCCCTTGTTACGTTATGAAACAATTGCGCGTTCGTTGCGTCTAAAGTGCGCCAGCAGTGGTAGAACAAGAGTTTACATCATCGAAGGCATTAGGTTAATCGTATATATGAAAATTCAGTTATGAGGGACGAACAAATTACCCGATCGGCAGAATTATTAGAGATACATGTTTCGAAATCATATCATCTTTACCCTAAAATCATTTCGACAAACTATTATTGATAAATACGTATTTTATACAGTAGAATCAATAGCACCTTATAGACCTACAAACATCTACATAAAAAAAAATCGTCTACGTGAAAAAAATCTACTTTTTATTTGGTCTTTAGGACTGACAGATCACTATGAATACTTACCTGCTTGGTCTCAGCTTTGAAATACTTGTCCTTGTCGCCTGAGACGATCTTGTAACGTACACTCATTTCTGGGCTTGTTTGTATTCCCATACGTTCTTGCGGGCGGACATATGTCTTTCCGACACAGTTTTCAGGAATTGAAACATTGTACGACGCTCTGGTAAACGTGAGTCTGGAAATACGTATAATATCGCACACACATATTTATTTGTTTTAATTTTTCAGTGCTTCAAATAGCGACAGCATGCAAAAGCAACGTGCACATCGTACCAAAAGCAAGGCTTTTTCTATAGCTGATAGAATTAAAGACTGATCCTAGGTCATTACTTTTCAATTATTTTTAATACGACCACATTGGAAATCGGTTTTGCTGAATCTTTAAATATATTTAGGGAACCGTGAATAATCCATCCTAAGTCGATGCAACCAACGTAAACGTATAAGAAAATTGACAATTTAAGCTATGTATATGCTTATAGTTCGAGCAAACGAAAATGTCGAAATGATACAGGCTAATAATAATCACGATCGGTGCGGTCCATAAGTTCGCTAGTCCAGTCGCTTTCATATGGCTAGTGCATGTACCGCTGTGGCCTGGTACCCAGGAGGCGAATTGGAGTTCGAGTAAGTTAACCGATAAGTTGATGGCTACCGACTGTGTTTGCCTTTGCAAACACAGTCAGTAGCTTTTCTCCTTAGCCCGCAGCCGCAATCATCTTAGCTTGTTGTGAGAAGGCTCGGTGGGTTCCGTCTAGCTACCACTGCTGCTACTGTCGCAGGTCAGGATTGCCCCTAGGCTTGAGGTCATACTCCGTCTGCCCCAAGTTTCTAGTGCCGAGCAAACGGTAGCGGTCACGAGCAACCCCTACTTCGTGTGCTTTTTTCCATCGGGAGAAATGGGGAACAAAGGTCAGTAAACAACACAGCCTGCAAACGGGAGAGCTCGCTTCTTTTCTGATGGCCACCGTTACTTTCAACCGGCAGCTCCGGGGCTTCAAGCTTCCCTTTAGATCAGGTAGAATTCTGTTGACATGACCCTCCACATAATACAGCAGTCCAGTTTCTTCCTGCGGCAGTCCAGAGCACCACGGCTGATTTAGGTCGCCATTTAAATGGAACAAAGCTAAGAAGGTAAAGGCTGGTCAGAGGAAGCACAAAAAGGAGAGACGGAGAAACACTAGAAAGCTCAGCGCAGAAGGTAAATATACCATGGGCTGTAATTGAAAAAATCCTTGTGGCGTTTAGAACGAAAAGCCAACACTGCACGTAAGCAAAATCAGACTATGTAATATTCGAGTCAGCACACTAACTGTCAGCGCTTCGTTATTGCGAAGATAAGGCCAAAATGTTAGAGTTCATATGCGCTAGAATTAAACATTGTTGCTACAATAACTAAAACAACGTCATTGATTAACGAAGAAAAACGTCAGTCTCAGTCATACAAAAGAAGACAGCCATTAACATACGGGTGGGCGAGGTGCTGCCTGCGCCACGACCAGACCTAGTCATTAGCCTTGATATTCTATTGGAACAAGTGGTATTAAGTTTTGATGAAAACTTACTGACACACCTTGTGCTCAACTCGTGCGCGCGAAATGCACACATGGTACAAATACACTACTTAGCAATACTTCGTCTCCTTTCCAACGATAAGACGAATATGTTGGCTACAAAGCAGAGCCAGCCGCTTGATCGTATTGCAAACACGTCTCATTCAAAGGCTGCACCAATAAGCTTCAGGCATTAACTTACTTACCTGCAGGTTCAGTGATTTGTTCTGCAAAGCTTCCATATGACAGACTCGGAAGTTTAGGATCGTCTTTAGTCTAAAATTAGTTGTTTCGACTGTGACTAGATAATTCACCTAAGCCTCAGCATCAAGCATAAAAAAGTAAAGGAAAAATCCGATAAAAAAAAGCACTCAAAAGCTGCCAGTGATTCATTCGTCTGCATGTGTGTGCGAGATTGTTTGGCTGTACATATGTGGGTCTTTTTTTTTCGCTCACCTGTCATCCGCTAGTTGAATGCCCGTAGAAGGGCCAAAGCCTATCAGACTCGATGAGTCCACCCTCCGATTGAGGATGACAAGTATGCTGATGATTAGTATGAGCTGCAGGGGCACCCCCCGCAGCGGGGGCCGGAGTAATAATCTCCAGCGCATCACGACCGCGGTCTCAGCGCCCTCTAGTGGCAGTCACTCGAGCCGTCCTAAGCATGACCGTTACTCATCGAGGGATGAGCCGAGCTCAGTCGAAATCTCGATACTGTTGGAACAAAAGGGAAGATACACAAACGTTTTATTGTCGTTCTACAATTAACGTGAAGTGATAAAGTGTCTACAACAAATAATAACAAAAATTCTACACACAATGTAGACTTGTTTCACCGGGTATCCGAGAACTAGTTGTGTGCACTCTATACGACAGGTCGTTATTATTGCTGACTTCAACTACTATTATGCAATAGTTCAGCATAGGTCGAAAATCATTTCAAGCATCTTTGTCCATTGAATACGATTTTTCTTCCTGCTGCTTTCCCAGTTACTTCGAAATTACGCATGTCTTTTATTTGCGGCATACGGGGTAAAATGTCCTCTATACTCACCTTAGTCTAAGAAAAGGGTGATTTGATCCCCAGCGTTAACAAAAAAGAACAGTTGGAGCCACATATCTTTTCCGGCAAAATCATATCAAAACTTCATTGTACCTACCAGAAATTAATGCGATGATTGTATAATTGTAATGCATTAAACCAGTTTTGCATGGCTAATTTCACAACGTATCAGTTTATTGGTTCTCAATCTAGCGGAATAGGTTCTATTAGTGGTAGTAATAAGAAGCTCCTGATGGAAAAAAAGGCTCAGTTAGGACGACAGGCTTAGGCGGGCTTAAGCATCTCGGTGTTTCATTAACAGATGCATGTGAAGAAATTACAAGGAGTAACAAAGACACCAGATTCTGGAAATTATTGCTTCCAGCTAGACAAAACGATGTTGTAGTTGTCGGGACTCCCGGGAATCCTTTCAGGCTTCTTCGAGGGTACGTCAACGCCTCAGTCGAGGGTGTTGACGCGCTAGCAGCAGTAAGCACTATCATTGAAGGAGTTAAACAGATTTTGGTACGGAGATGACGCACGTTGAAATGAGTCAAACGAAAAGAAATGCCAGTGTTATGTTCGGTCATCTAACTAACAGCATAGCATAGAGACATAGGCCCGCGACTTTTGATAGTTCAACTGACCAAGATCTGTCAATAGCAATATCATCGTCTAAATATTGCTGCCGTGTACGGAACTGCCCTTTTGATAAAATGCCTAAAATCTTACCCCTTTCGATTACTCATTCGTGTTGAGATATATTTCCTAGTTCAAGGTCGTTTAGTAGGCAAACCTATTTAATTTATTATATCCGCGCATTACCCGCTAACATGTAGCTTGTTCCGTTGTATACGGTCTGGCCATAGAATGTTAGGGTTGCAAGTGCCAATTAACTCGCTACTCTTAACTCAGCTCGACTGTAAGCGTCTCCACTACAAAAATCTGTTTGGTTCGACGTGACCAGTCCTTGTGTGCTACACTTCTGGAGCACCTACTCACGTTGCTACGTCCCAACGCGTGCCATAAACATACACGCACGCACGCACGCACGCAGACAAATATATGAATTCTACTATGCGGTAATACAACACTACACATCTGTTCTATTTGTTGACACCAAAATACGCTAGACGTGAATGGCTTAGCTTGAGTGATTCGTTTCTCTCCGTAGTTAGCCATTTTCTATCGAACCACAGTCGTTGTTTTGGTGAAGAGGCAGCAGAGTCTTGTTGTGCTCCTGTTTTTTCCATTTCTCTTTCTCTGTTCATAACATTGTTCTCAAACTGTCCTGCAAACTATACACCTTCTATCTGCTGTTGACGCCAAGTTTACTACCGCGGTCAGCAGTAGCGTCTGGAAGCATCGTTCTGTCAATTGGTTGGCCAGCCTGTAATGCTGCGCATACGCTGCACGTCGATATTCGAGAGGGTATGATGCTGTTAGTGATAGTCAAGGCGACAATGGTGCTGCCGACATGGTCGAACCCGCCATCCTTGGTCTAGTCTGGTTCTGTAGCTTGCCGCACATGAGTCTACCTAGCTGGCTAGAAATGGCACTACTAGTGAGGTATTAAATAATCGCTTGTATTGTTGTTAATACCCGCTTCTGTCTGCTCGGGTCGCCTTGCACAGCCTTACTCTCTTTGCCGGCATTGCCGTTACCTCATTGTCTATCCCAGTACAGCTCTGGCCCGATATCCCGGTATAAGCATGGCTCCCCTGCTCGGGCACGTTAGATATATGTAACAGCAGCGAGCGAAGGCTAGTGACGGGCGACATCGGGCGGCCATTTTGCTCCAACCACACTCTGCTGTGATTCAGGTAGTGGTGATTTTGGTATCCAAGACCGACACGGTGCGGAGGCATAGTTTACGACACAGGTCGCTCAGTAGGTCCAAATGTTGTTCTGCCTTACAGCAGCGGCGGTATCTATGATGGCACATCTATGGTAGCAGCCACTATTAGTTAGCCTCGCTAAGGACATTGTCTGCCTGATTAGGTGCACCTATTGATGTTTTATAGATTCAATTATCAAAAGACATAGTTTTCGTTGGTTACGATACGTGTACGAATCGACCGTCGTCTATGCTGGTACTTGCAGGCCCGCTATTCTGTTTGTATGAATCTAACAAGCTTTTCCTTTGTGCAGAACTCCCCTTGTTGTAAGCGAAGTTAGGGCTCATGTCAACTGACTAAATGTCGTCACTACCACTGTCACAAGGACTGACAGCTGCAGGCAGTGGATCTACGCCAAAGTAGGCAGACACCTGCTACCAGAAGGTATCGTCATATCGAAGTATATCTACACGCATCACACGCAACACCACATTCAGTCTGGCCCTTTTCCGCCCATGCAAACGCCTGCATGAGTGCCTGTCAGACGGCCTGCTCGAGCGTCTTTTACCACTTTTGGTGTCAAGGCACAGGGTCGTTCACTAACGGCTTCTCCTCGCCAACGCCGCAGCTGCCGCAGCCAGTTTCTATCCTATCCGTGGCAACGTCTGTATATGGTATTCCATGCTATAAAGGGATGCAGCTCCCCAGCCAAAGAGCCAAAAGCCTGCTCATACGGTACAAACAATTAGTACTAAGAAGCATAGAGAGAAAGGGGCAAAGCTAGCAATTTGCCGCCACCATCCTATGCTGAAAGAGGACATAAGAACTGAGCAGTGTATATGGCTAACTTGGTTTGATCCAGTTTGTTGGCTACGTTCAGTTCTTTCGCTGTGGGCCTGTTGTCGACCAAATGTAGACCATGCCAGCGGGTTGTCATCGACAGAAATGTTGCCGTTGTAATAAATAGCTCGGGTTCGTTTCTCATTTAGCCCGCCTGTATCCTTTCAAATTCTCCATACCTTCCAGGGCTAAATAGCCCTAAACAGGTACCTGTTCTAATAATCTCGAGACCTGAAAGCACAATAAGAGGAACAGCCACGACTTGAAAGGCATCACTGCTCTTTGGTCCCTGATTCCCCCTAAAAGACCTTACAGCCAGGCAGGCAACGGTCAGGATTAACACACCTCTTGTCATCTAGGTTAGTATCCTATGCCACCACAAGCAGCTTGGTGACCGCGGGGCTTCCTGCCATTCCTTCTCCACACACAGTCGCCAGTCATCCAGTCATCCAGGTGGTCGACATTCATTGGCCATGTATCTAAACAGCGGTTTTATTGTTTTCATTATTTATTTTCTTAGCCGCCGACAGCAATTCGCGGCTGTCTGCTCGACTTCATTTCCTAACGTTTTAACCGGAACAGTCAGCGACCGAATTCTGGTCTGTATCTAGTTGTTATCTCAAGGCTATTGTCGTATTAAAAACTTCTCTCGTTTAGTCGAATAATTTCCCTAAGCTGATTTGTCAAATGGATTTATACCATTTAGATAGAGATTTAGGAAAGGAAACGGCGCGAGGCATTCCTAAGAACAAAGCAATGTCTAGAAAAAAAGAGACGTAAAACAAATCCCAGCTTCGATGCATTACCACATACAGTTATTGATACACATGTACATCCATAAATGACTATCCGTTTCCTTTCCTCAATTTCACAAAACAGGTTTACCTATCAATATTTTTTTTCCTCAGAAATGTATGCATCAGTCCAATCAAACCGTCAACCCTTTAGTTAGGGCCCTTAGATTAGCCTACCATCTATTGGAAGGGCATCCAGTTATGCTACGATGTGGGCAGCTCAGTGTAATTCTATCATTGCATAGGGCATTGCTATTATATCATCGGCAGCAGTAGCCGGGGCGCTGGTTAGTGCAGGACACGTCACGGGAGGGTCCAGATCATAGTGAAAGGTAAACACGCTTACTTGCTGCTCATCCACACGAGGGTAATCGCTAGCACCACAGTCGACGCTGCTGTTGTTGTTTGAATTGTCGTCAGTATGGCCCCACCTCGCCTGCCTTTGTATAGTCGCTATTCGATTCAGTTGTTGTTGTTGTTGTTGTTGTTGTTGCCACTCGCGCCTGTTATATAGGCGCTGCCGTTTCCTTCGAGGTTAACGGGAAGATAGCGAGAGCTATGTATGAGCTAAGTGGAGGCCCACACGTAGCTGTTCATTATGGGCCAATCCCCTGCGGCCATTACTACCAAGATAATGTGACAGCGTAAGATGCCGTACAGGAGCAAACAAGATAACGCGTTGCGGTCGCTCCTAAAGAGCGGTACGCGGAAGCAAGAAGGGAAAAGTAGTAACGATAAGAAAAAAGGTAAAATGGTCCGTGCAACTTCCTATCCTTAGCCTACTGGATTTAAAGGAGGCAGATTTACGTTTTTACATCTGTAACGCAGTCGGTCATATTTGTACAGGCAACATGATGTCTATCTAACAAGCTAATCCTTTAGAACGACGACGAGGGCAACGTAAATAATAACGACAGGTCATATACGATGCAAGCGACAAACAGTGATACAAAACGGCTATATACGGCATGAAATCGATATGATCATCAGAGAGGTTTGTTAGTAGTACTCGCTTTACAGGTGAACCGTTGAATTCATATAGTAAACGGCTGCTTTCAGGGTTATAAAGAGTAGGTCGAGAATTTACCTGTAAAGCGACCTAGGTTGCTCGCATCTTGATCCGATGCTTGACGCAGGTACGACTTCACTGTGTTGTATGAATCCGATCTGGCTACAGGTATCTTGGTGTCACTTCAGTTG